AAATTTTAATTACGTGTAAATCCAACAAAGAAAATTTTTTATACACGTGGCATATTTTTTACACATCATATTATCACCTTTTTAACTTTTCCTTTTAATGGGGCCCATGTAACAATTTTTTAACTTTTCTTATTCTTTCTCTCCTCTCTTTTCTGTTCTTCTTCCTCTCCAGATCTGGGTTTGATCAAAACCCAGATCTGCTCTCCTTTCTCTTTCTTCTCTAGAATCCTCCAGTCTTTGCTTTCGTCTTCCCCAGATCTCACCTTTTTGTGCCCGGCAGCCCTTGGGCTTGCCGGATTTTTGATGCTTGAGCCGCCGGGATCTCCGGTTGCTCAAGCATGATGGAGCCGATTTCGTGCTCCAGTTCCGATGACCCTTCTGGTGGTCTTTTTTTCTTGTTTTTTTTCTGTTTTATTTGGTTGTTTTGCTTGTTTGTTATCAGATCCGGTGGCTACCAGCCATTACACAGATCTCCAAAGATGGTCGTCGGATTCCCAGATCTGGTGGCCATGGAGCCTCTCACGGGAGATGGTCACCGCCTGATGGGATCTCCCCGCCCTGGTGTCCTTGTTTCAAGAATCGCTGTGGTTTTGCTACGACGAATTCTTCATGAGCGGTGAATTTGAAGATCGACTCCGAGATGAACCTTCCTTCTTCGACAGCTTCTACTTCTCGTCGAAATAGAAGTTCGGCTGTGCGGTCGCAGTTGTAGCCAGCGCGGTAGCCATGGAATTGATTCTCTGGGTAAAAAATGGAAAACAGACTCGAAGCAAAGAGAGAAAAACCTGAACAGAACAGAACAGAACAGAGGGGTATTGGGTTGTTAAGCTGAATTCACTGAAGAAGCTGGAGAGTGAGGGTGGGTTTGGGGTAATATTTGATTTTAATTTTGCAGGAGTAGTAGTAGGTTTAGGGTTTTGAATTTGAAAAGGAAATGAAAAGAGAAACGAAGATACCTTGTGATTTTTGGGGAACTTGATTGAGACTGGAAAAAGAGAGAACAAAACTTTCATGTAGGCCCCACTAAAAAAAGAAACTAAGAAGATGACAATTTGACGTGTAAAAAAATGCCACGGTGTAAAAAATGTCGTTGCTGGATTTACATGTCATTAAAAATAAAAAAAAGCCGGCAATTTTGTGTCATTTTAACGAGCCACCTGGCATTTAACTGACGGAAGGACCATTTTGGTACCAAAAATGAAAGTTTAAGGATAATTTTGGTACTTTTTAAAGCTGAGGGACAATTTTGGTGCCAAAATGATAAGTTGAGGGACTAAAATGGTACTTAAACCTTGGTAATATTGTGTAATTATTAAATAAAATAAATCTGTTTTCTTTATTTTTTATTGTTTTTATTTTTTTTGTTCTTCAAAGATATATTCGGACCGAAAACGGTCTGGATATATTTATAGAATGACGCCTGTTGGGAGACGAAACTTTTAAAAGTTACAAGCAAGTCCAATATTTTCAGACCGATAACGGTCTGTATATAGTTTGAGAATGACGCCTGTTGGGAGATGAAACTTTTAAAAGTTACATGCAAGTCCACAATATTCGGACCGAAAACGGTCTGGATATATTTATAGAATGATGCCTGTTGGGAGACGAAACTTTTAAAAGTTACAAGCAAGTCCAATATTTTCAGACCGATAACGATCTGGATATATTTATAGAATGACGCCTGTTGGGAGACAGAACTTTTAAAAGTTACATGCAAGTCCAATATTTTCAGACCGATAACGGTCTGTATATAGTTTGAGAATGACGCCTGTTGGGAGACGAAACTTTTAAAAGTTACAAGCAAGTCCAATATGTTCGGACCGAAAACGGTCTGGATATAGTTTGAGAATGACGCCTGTTGGTAGACGGAACTTTTAAAAGTTACAGGCAAGTCCAATATGTTCGGACCGAAAACGGTCTGGATATATTCGAAAGTTTTAAAAGTTGCAGCTGGGTCCTCAATATTCGGACCGATCCCGGTCCGTATATATTTGTGATGCCTCTTTCCACCACAGTTACAGACCGTTGTCGGTTCGTATATATATTATTATTTTATTATATTAATTTTTTGGGACCAATTTCGGTCCGCTTATTTCAATTTATCAATAATTATTTATATTTCTTACTGAAATATCCGGACCGATTTCGGTCCAGATAGTATATATATACGAACCGATTATACGTCGGTCTGTATATTATACTTATTCGTACCAGGTTTTTTCAAATCAACTATAAGGACCAATATCGGTCCGTATATATATGTTCAGACCGATTGGTAATATATCCGGACCGATTGTTTGGTCTGAATATACCATTCCTGCAGTAGTGATAGATCATATGCAATTATCTATAGCATCCATACCTTCTATTTATAATGTACCTGCAAAACAATCTTTACATTGAGAAAACTCTCATAAATCA